CTCCAGGTCTAATCCCAGACTGTTAGTTGGTTTATGGCCACAAACATGACTGTTTATCACCTGCATATATGTTTTGTCTTATATAATGTAGCTGTAGCTAGCCTGATCATTCATACAAATACCTAAGCCTTTTAAAATCCTACTTTAGTTCTTTGCCTCATATCTGGTGGCAGCACAGACTAGGTCTGCAGACTAATTATGCAGGGAGTAAAAATATATTTCTTTAGATCATGTTTAAATTTGTCCCTTCTTAATTTAATTGGATGAGTCTTGTTCTTGTATTGCCAAATAGGGTAAAGAAGAGCCCCCCCAATGACCTCTTCTGCACCATTATTTTTTATACCTTTGTTATGTTCCCTCTTATTCATCTTGCTTTAGAACTACATAGTTGTTCTTTCAGTCTCCTCCTTAGCTTTCCGTACCGCTAATCATTTCAGTTGTCCTTCCATTGTTTTGCAAAGTAGAACACTTTAAAAAAATCCTTCTTTGTCATTCCCCATAAAAGCAGGATGTGCAATAACTTTAGCTTATACACTCTTCCTGCCACAGTTCTACAGTAGACCGGGAATCAGTAAACGTTGCAACCTAGGCTCGTACACTAGAAACGTTGAGCAGCTAGCACAGGAATGTGTTTAAGTAGATATCATTTTTCAGGCCATTAACAGCTTTTCAGTAATTAGGCAAAACACAGTAAAATGCTACAACTTGCATCATTCCTCTATGATGTTTAGTTAATTCCTGACATCCTGTAAAAGTAGCAAGCATAAATTATAGTGCCAAACATTAGTTCACTATATATAGGATGTATAAAGAGAAATTATTACTTTGGGTCTGAATTGCGAATGCTGCCTAATTCCTAAGGAATGAAAAAAGCAAGTACATTACACTAGCCACTCTAATGCATAGTTTAGGCCAGTGCTTCTCAAATGTGGTCACCATGGCCACATACAGCCACCGGGAGCTTTTTTTGCAGCCACAGCCTTCTAGGCTGTTATAGGCCAGGGTCGAGTAAAGTAAAGGCCCCTCCCTGTTGCTCCTGAAGGCACTGCCTTGGTGTTAGTTGCTGGGGCCGCCAGCAGTGGTTTGGCCCTGCTCCCTCTGTGGAGGCACCTGGGACACAATTTGGAGGACCAGGGAGCTGGTGAGTTCCCCACCTTCCCAGGGGTAGTGGGGTTCAGGCTTTGGGCTTCAGGAGCCCTGGGGTGGCGGGAGAGTGGGGCAGCAGGCTCTGGGCTGCAGCTCCCCACCCCCATTGCCCCTAGCCCCCACTGCCTCCCCTGAACCCCCCCACCCCCCCGATCCAGGGCTTAATTTGTCCCCATGCTTGACAGGGCTGAGTAAGTCTGCTGTGAAAAGCCTACTTGTATGCTTGTTAATATCACTTTTCACAACAGACTCACTAGCTAGCAATAAATAAATTACAATGATTTAAATAGCTGTATATGCGTATTTATTTGTTTTTCCTAAAGCAAATTAAGTATTTTAGGAAGACATGTGAGAGCGGCCACCAGCAAGAGTTTGAGGCCACCAAAAAATTTGTCCTGCGAACCCCTGGTTTAGACTGTATCTGAGGGGAGAGCACTCGAACCACTCTAGGGCTAGTCATTTAAGAATATTGTACTTGGAAGGGCACTGATAGTAGGTTAAAAAAAGGCTTTGATATTCTTTAGTTCCTTGCCATTGCATACTATAGACCAGAGGTGGCCAAACTGCAGTGTGCGAGCTGCACGTGGTGCTTTTATAGTTAAAGTACGGCTTGCGGCCCCCCCCCCCCATTCTCTGCCTACCAGACAGAGGGGCGGGGGTTCAGGGCTTCTACCCTGCAGCAGCAGGGTGCGGCTAGGGGCCTCTGCTGAAGATGATTGGTACGTGCTGAGAGTGCGGGGGCACAATTTTAAGGTTCAGCTACCCCAACAGCTTGAGTCCCGCCCTCACCCCCACCCCCGGCATGCCCCACCCATTACCTTCAGCAGCCCCTTCCTGCAGCTCCCAGCTGTTAGCTCCGCATGGTGAGGCAGCGGTAAACAGCTGGGATCTGCAGGGAGGGGCGGCTGTTTAGGCTCCGCAGGGAGATAGCAGTGGCTCTTCCTCCAGCTCCCAGTTGTTCGCCACTGTATTGCCCCACAGCTGTAGCGGCCAGCTTGTCGGCTCCAGCACCTAGCCCACACACATTGCCTCTGGCTTCAGACCAGTGGGAATGGGGTCTTGGGGCTTCAGCCCTGCAGAGCACTCCTGCCACGGCTCAGGGCTTCAGCAGGAGCAAGGCATCAGCCTCAAGCCCTAGCAGGCACCTCCCATGGGGCTGAAGCCCCAAGACGACCCCCCCCCCCCAACCTCCCCGCAAGGCTGAAGCCCCGAGCCCCAGCACATGCACCCTGACTCTTGAACTTCTGAAGATTGTTGTATGTGGCTTGGGGGTCAATACATTTGGCCATCCCTGCTCTAGACACTTGTTTTTGCACATTCCAGAACAAAGAAAGGAGATACAACCCTTGCCCCCATTAGGCATGACTCAGCCGTAAACAATGGGGTATATACTGAGGAAGAGCCAGGGTAAAAGTAATCAAAAACCACACAGCTGTGCGCTTCCTAGTATGGTAAGTGACCATTAGGGTCACTGGCTTAATTTTTTTTTTTTAAGAAACTAATTAATTGTGACACTACAGAACAAGTGTGTGTGTTTTAAGGAAATATTAGCCTGAAGGGCTGTGGTGTAAGGAGAAGATTTTGAAAAATGCAACCAGTAGCTTGGCACATAACACTCATTTGTGCTTTAGAAATCACCCCAGGCTGAACAGGGATTGTACCCATTAAAGTATTACAGTTAAAGAGTAAAATAAACAATCCAATATCATTAAACTACATAAAACCCTACATTGTATGGATAAGGAAACCCTGAGTTACATTTTAGTGTAACTAATATACTGGAGGAGGAGTAGGGAAATGAAAAAAAAAGCATTAATGTAATAAGCTTTCTGGGGGTATTTTCTTCACACATGTAAACATTGTGTGGTTTGATTGCTGGGAAACGTTTCTGAAGCTAAGTGCTGGAGTTCTGTGATAAGTGGTCTCCTGCAGAAATATTGCCCTGGGCTCTGGTCTGCTATGATTCAAAGAGGCAGGTACTACATGTGTCTAGTGTGCCTTACAGATGCTTCTTCACTTCTGACTCAAGCATACATTTGTTTAGTTTGGTGGAATCATCAGCGTTATGTAGCTTGAGAATTTAAGCCCATGAGTCCTAAGGAAGTGACCATTCCTGAAAATATGTGAATTTTGTGACATTCTGTTCCCCAAAGCAGTACCCTGGCACCCCCATATTTACCATGGTGATATAATTTGTGCACAGTATGCCTTGTAAGGTATCATTCGAAAAGTCTGCATCTGTTAAACATTAATATCCTGTTGGATTGTATGTGCTGTCATTGTATCTAAAGTTATGAATATTGACTATATACCAATATTTCAAATGTGTTTGCTCCTTGAGTGACACCCATAATGCAGTTTACATCCAGTCTAGACAGCACATTGTGGATGAACCATTCAAAGTAATGGCCCATTAAGAAAAACAATAGGCCATAGAAGAAGCTTATCCTTGCCTGATGGGCTTTCCTGTGGACACTTCAGCCAGAATCAGAGTAGCAGCCGTGTTAGTCTCTATTCACAAAAAGAAAAGGAGTACTTGTGGCACCTTAGAGACTAACAAATCTATTTGAGCATAAGCTTTCGTGAGCTACAGCTCGCTTCATCGGAATAAATTTGTTAGTCTCTAAGGTGCCACAAGTACTCCTTTTCTTTCAGCCAGAATGTCAGTAATGGCTGTTATGACTCATCAAAGCATGCAAGGACATATGATACTGGACTCCATCTTGTGCCTCCAACTTTTCCACAAACTGTGCTGGGGACTTTGCTTGGAACAATGAAGTTCCCTCCACATGGAAGAAGCTATAAAAGTGGTATCATCACTGGGCCTCACTCCCCCTACAACACAACACCTAGAAACACATCTGCAAGAAAAGACTTTGAATGGGGGATGGTGGTCCCCGGTGGGAAAGAAGGCATCCCAGCCTGTGTATGAACGATCTGAGAACAGCTTGTACCATCAGGGTCAGAGACTGCTTAATTCAAATCCTGTCTAGTTTATGGAAATTAGATTGTGATTTTGTTTCATTTTCTAGGTAACTAACTTTGATCTGTACACTGATTACTGTAATCACTTAAAATCTATATCTTTCGTAGTTAATAAATCTTTTATATTTTTCACCTAAAACAGCGTGGTGTTTAAAGAGCAAAAGGGACATCTGCTCAAGAACAGAGGCTGGTGCATTGTCCTCTCCACACTGAGGAAGGGGCGAACTGGGTAATAAACTTACACTGGTCAGGCTTTTGACCAGGACAAGACAGTATAGTTGCGGGTTCCTAGGCTGGGGAATTGGAAGGAAACTGGCTGAAACCTCTCTTGGTTCATAAGTGGCTAGTGAAAGCATTCATGCAACTGCAGCTGGGTGTGTCGCTGTTTGTGTATGGCTGTGTAGATACAAGTCCTGGAGAGAATTGCAGCTTGTCACAGCATCACAGTGAGTGAGGGAACCCAGGCTGGTGAGAGAGGGCTCAGCGGTACCCAGTTCCAGGTTGTCCCCCCGGAGAAATATGTCACACTTTTCAAAAGTCACTTCACGTCTAATTTTCATATTCACTTTTACCATAAATTGAGTTGATGATTGAGCACTTTGCAGGATCATCCACTGTGTTAGGCTGTGGGCCACTGACTACAGCTTAGAGATCCACTGAGGCTGAGAGATCAGATTGTCTCTCATAGAAGCCAGTGATCATGCCATTGCTTCACACGAGCTCCCTAAATTCCATTGAGATGTGAGACTATTTGGCAGTGAATCATCCCATCTCTCGTAAGACGCAGCATGTTAAAAATAGTCATTACTAGCCAATTATCAACTTCACAGTAAAGGAATTTGGGACAGTAATCTCCATGACAATCAAAATAAAGTGTTTTTATATATATAATTTAATTTTTTATTTTAAAACTTTTGCGCATACATTTCTTAACCATCCTCCTTTTTTTCATTGCACTTAAAAGTTTCAAAACCCCCCACAAAATATATCCCTTTACTAAACAACTTTTGTTTTCTGGTTACAAAAAAGGTAACATTTCACAGTCACAAAGCAAAAGTACATTGGTCCAAAACATCTTCATCCAACAGATTCTTCTTTGCTCGGGCTATACAAAGCTTAGACAATCAAACATTCCTCAAAATATGCTCACTCGGCCAATGACAGAAGGAGGAATGGGGCAGCTACCGAATTTAAAAAAACAAAAAAAAAGTACTAAAATAAAGTACCCATGGAAGAACAAAAAGGTGGAGGTTGACAAGGGAGCCTCCTTCAAGTACACCACAGGTAGAAAACAGCAGCACAGTTCCAGTCTTGTTTGGTCACTGTCTATATGATAGCCACATTAAGATACCTACATCTAAAAGCCAGACAGAAAAAAAATGTTATTTACACATCTAGAATGCCATGGAAAGAAATAGCAATACCACAGTCTGGAATTCACGTTAGATACAAGCCAAGATGTCATGTATGCAAAAAAAGGCAAGAACAAATGTGAGAGAGTTGGCTGGGTTGTGTAGTGTCCTTTAAAACCACGTCTATGTACAAGTACAGTTCAAAGCCAAGACCTGTCCAGACATTGTAAGTATTGTGCTTCAAATCAGCATGGAGACAGGGCATAGCTACTACAGTAATTCAGAGACCTCTTTAGTCACATTTGATCATGTAAATAATTTCATGTCAGTCCCGTGGCCTAAAAACCACTTTTGCTTTACACAGTCAGCCTTGTTGCTTTTAAATTTGTTTTATTAGGAAATTTCTCTTTTTTCTGGTGCAGGGGCTATTGACAATGAGCTTTCTTAGGTGGTATGATTATGTATTCACTCAGCGAACGTAACTCCATTGGTTACTTAAAGAAACGTGATAGAAATGAAATATCTGGGCTTTCCATTAAATTAAGCAAGAAAAATTTTTGGCCGCATAGGCAGGAGAAAGTTTGAGAAGCAGCTGTATTAGCGTACGGAATAGTATTCAAAGGAGAATAGAGGAAGTCGCTTTGCTTGGGATGTTTAAAATAAGACTGGAGAAAGCACTTGGAAAAACAGCTTTAGGGAGTTATTCAACATCTGCAGAAGAGATAGACTAGATGGTTTATTAGTCATTTTCCATATATAATTTCTATTAGTCTATGATTTGATGACTTCCTGATTTTGTAAATAGTACTGATTGATTGGAGGGGGATAGTATAGCATTGTGAAGCAGGATTATTGATCGGCACAGCAGGATTATCATCATAGCTGATCATTCCTAGGCAGTCCAATTCCTGCATGTCAAATATCCTACCAAAATGAGAGCTTGTCTGTGGGCTGATCCACTATGGGTGCATGTGTGTATTGGAAGAGTGGGGACTGAGATTTGCTGTCCTAATGGAACGTGCATTATTACTGAAGTAGTGCCTTTAAGGCACAAAATGTTCTTGCTGGAAAATGGCATGCATGCAACAGTGGTCATAGGTGGGAAGAAAATTTTCAAAGCTTTCTCCTTGCCTTCAGAAATGTTTGCTGCTGTGACCCATAATATGTTGAAATCTACAAAGGGAAGCAAGAGCCTCTGATAAAACAAGATGTACTTGAATATCTTTTCTGTAATTCTCCCCCCACCCCCAAATATTCTTCTGAGGTGTAGGTAAAAGCCAGGATATCAGAGGGAGTAATATTGGGCAGACATTTCTAGTGAGGAAAGCATGTGCATTTCTTAGAGGTTTTGAATGAAAAGCAAAACAAAAAACACCAGCACAATTACAGTAAACTTATGTTTGACTGGGAAGCTTTTTATTAAACTAGAACATCCTCAGAGCTCATTAAAACAAGGAGTTGACTGCAATTCAGTTTGCACAGAATTTGAGAGTCTCTGTTTTCTTTCTTTAAAAATGTTAAATGGGAAGGTATATTTTCCATTGCAGTTTAAGGAAAGTAATATTCTAACTCTTGCTGTAATGCGGAGTCACATATTGCACTGCAGATGAATGAGTTTCAATTAAAAGATCTTTCTTCTTCCTGTCTTCTGAATGATGGCAGCTGTGGACACCATGTTTCTAACTAAAATCAAGGATTACACACTGGCATTGGATTTGTATCAATCAGGCTCACAGCGGGTACCACGGGCATTATCTTGAGATGTACCAGTGCTCCCTTCTGTTAGTACCGCTAGTTAGTTTCCCTCCTGATTTAAGTGAACTGACTCACTGAGGACTACAAATGCTACACATAGCTATAAAACCCATGAAAAAGTACATGGATAAGTTTACTAGGCCAAACAAAGAAAGAAGAAATAGGTGAATGAGGAAAAGGCTCTTGCTTGAACTATAAAACATATGAGAGATTATGTGGAAAATGTTCTAGACTCAGTCAGATTTCAAATCTGCATCTCTTCCGTTTGCACAAAGAAAAAGAGGTAAGGGCCAAAAAGGTAAGTAGATAGGCTGCCGATTTATGCAGGTTCTGGATTATGAAACAGCTGTGTTTTCTGCAGTGCTGTCACATCCAGGCACTGTTGAATCCATGGAACAGTTTGCAGGCTACAATCATACACTTGGGGCATGTTTGAGCCAAATTATCCACTCAGCACTGCCTCATTTCAGCGTGGAACTCCTGCTTACTATTTACAGGGAGGGGCTTTTAAGTCTTGTACACTGGGATTGTTGTACTTGCACATCAAGGTGGCATAGCAGGACTTGTAGTGCCATGGATTGAACTAAACACCTGTTGAACTTCACTGAAAACACACGGTACGTAGCACGTAATAAATTACTCAGTTGGAAGGCTCCAGGCCTGTCCTATTCAGAAGGAAATGTGACCACCTCAGGGAATACAAAGGACATGGCATCTGCTTGTTAAAACTGGCACTTCCTCCTTTGGGACAAACTTACCATTTGTGAGGTTTCTAGTTTTCTCTCCCATACTGCTAGGATTATGTCAACTGTGTATCTCCTAGCTAGCCAATTTGATTTACAACCTGGGATCAGCAGCTCCAGCAGTACACAGTTAGGGGACCCACGAGACATGAGGACCCCTCTGTATGTTAGCAGCTTCTGAAAAAAGGATTGAAATCTGTGGCACTGAAGAGAGTTCTCTGTTTATAGGACAGGAACCACAGTTATGTCTGCGCTGCAATCCGAGCTGTGCTTCGCAGTTTGTGGAGCCATAACCACGCAAGCTTTCAGCTAGCTAGCCCAGGTCCCAATAACAGTGAAGATGCAGCCGTGTGGGTGTCAGCACAGGCTGTCCAAGTTCCCTGGGACCTCTGGGTACACCCTGGCATTGCTAGCCCATGCTGAAGCTCACTGCTGTTTTTAGCCAGATTAAGGCTAGTGCGGGTATGCCTACATGAGCTGCAAATCACACCTCCAATCACTACTCTACACAGGCTATGTCTACACTGCATTTTGCCTGAATGGTTTCCTGTTGCACTGTTGCTTCTACTGGTATCTTATTTAGAGAGATTTTTCTTAATATCGATCGAGTACAACTGGTAGAGGAGACCAAGCAAGCCAAGGATTTCCACTAACACGTTAATCCTCTACCCTGGTACCAAAAGGTGCAGAGTTATGAGTGAGTTGCCACCTTCTGAGCATGGGACCCTGGTGATGGGGGCAGGGCAGAGGGCTTTTATGGTGAATAATAAGGGAGACCGAAGTGAAGGGATTTTCAGTAAGGTTGCTATCTGTGTTTCCGGGTTAATAACTAGAACAATAACATTTACCATAGACACCCAATTAAACCCAAACTGAGAAGACAAAATACATTTACTGAAACATTGATCGCTAAGCTGTACGTCCAGTGATCTTTTCAATAGGGTGCATGATAAAGCAGACAGAACCAGCCAAAAAATTAAAATCCCAGGTCCCAAAAGGTATGTCTACTCTCCAGGTGGGAGCAAGCCTCCCAGCCTGGGCAGATGGACTTGAGCTAGAGGGCTAAAAATAGCAATAGGGACGTTGTGGCTCGGGCTGGAGCTCAGCCTCTCAAGCCCATGAACCTCTTAGACTTGAAAGCCCAAGCTCCAGCCTAAGCCGAGATGTCTATCCTGCTATTTTTAGCGCACTAGGGGCTTGAGTCAGTCTACCTGAGCTGCAGGGTAGCCCTACCCAAAGAAACCTTGGCTTCCAGAGGAACTCTGCATCAAGTAAGATCTGGTGCATCATGGTTACACAGCAAAGGAAATCTTGACAAACAATTCCTGTTGCAAGATTTATTCTTGTATCAACACAATGCGCCCTACTCGCTGAGGCAATTTTTGCAGATGGCTTGGCTGTGGTGAGTTAGATCAAGTCACAAGGACAGTCTTGGTTTTGCCACCAAAGCATGTGAAATAAGGAGCTGTAAAGTCTCTAGAGTGTTCTGAAGGGGGTTCAAGTGGGAAAAATGAGAATTCAATCATATATGTACAATTTTTGGAAGTTCTTCATGGAAAAAGAATGACAGTTACTCGCAAGTGTAATTACATCAGGTGTCAGATCAAGTTTTAACTTTTTTTTTTTTTTTTTTTTTTTTAAATGATCCATCCCAAAGCCATGACTTCAATCATCAGTCACTGGCTTTCAATCCCCATTTCTACTTTCACAACTGAAAATGGCTGTTCCACGCCACATGGTAAACTGAAAAAGATTAAGTCCTGTTTCAGGTCACAATGGGGTCCTCACCTGGAGGGACAATACAGGGACCACCAATCCATAATATATTAGCAGCATTTAAGTTCTATTCCTGTTAAGCACCAAAACCCATTAATATAGGGAAGCTGTAACCTTAAGAGATACCTTTAATCGTGTACAGTATATGTGCAGAGCCCTACCTTTTGGGCAGAAATATCACCTTCCAGCATGAGTTTAGATTAAATTACATCAATCAGAACTGTCCTTGTCAGATCTGAACATCATGTCTTTTCAAAGGCTCTTCCTAAAAAGACCACCCTCCCATTATCATTGTCGGTGCTACTTTCATGACAAGTTGTTTCCATGTATTAAAGGAATGACATAGACAGAAATGTCATCTCCTGAGCCCAGTCTATCGTTGGATATTCTCCAGCCCCTGTCCTTCAGCACTCCCCTGGCTCGCATCACCAGGTCCTGAGCTGCTAACGTGTATCTGTGGAGGAGGAGGAACACGGTTACATTGCAGAAATTGAGCATGCAGAGATCACAGCTGGTAGTATTATGAAGAATGTGTTTTCACAGTTGATGAGATTTACATTTGTGAGATACAAAGACAAGCTGTCAGATGCCATTCATCAGCAATCAAAAAACAAGTGTTGACTACTAGTAAAAATTATTTAGCACCCGAGGATCTCTAAGCTTTTTACAAATTTTAAGGCATTAGGTCAAGTATTTCACAAGTGACTAGTGATTTTGGGTGCCCAAGTCGAGACACCTTAAGGTTGCCCGATTTGCAGAAAGTGCTGAACATCCCTCGGAAAATTAGGCCTCTGTGACGGATCTTATATGGAGCACCCCAAAAAATCACTAAACCCCTTTTGAAAACCTTGACTGTAAGTGTCAAACACCTTTTTAAAGAATGTTAAATAGTAGCATACCCAGAAGCACAAAGGTGGCACATAGCCAACTTTGCACCCTGCCCAGCTCTTGTTCTGCATGATTCTTTAGCAGAACTCAGTCAGGGCCAATATGTATAACTGAAATGTTAGAGAGACACTGTGGGTGAGGTAATATCTTTTATTGGACCAACTTTGTTGGAGAGAGAGACAAGCTTTTGAGCCACACAGAGCTCTTCTTCAGATCCCAAAGCAGGAAGAGCTCTGTGTAGCTCGTCTCTCTCTCTTCAACAGAAGTTGGTCCAATAAAAGATATTACCTCACCTTCCTTGCCTCTGTAATATCCTGGGACCGACATGGCTACAACAACACTGCACGTAACTGAAATGCTGTCAGTTCAATGATGATATGCTCAGCCACGAAGGCCTGCAGTTTTGCATTACACTAAAACATATTTGCAGGACACTTAGAGGAATGATCACAACAACAAATCCCTGAATGGCTAACTTGTGATTTCGACAGGACTGATTCTACCTTCCTGAGGATTATGACATAACTGATCACAATGGCACAGGAGCAACAGTGCAGGACACTTCCATTTTCAAGAGAAAGCAGCTCAGTTACAACTTCTCAGATACTTAGCCCTCAGTCTGAAAGATCAGCTACTTAGTAGTGTTATTTTTACAGCATGAGTCCTTGCTCAACTGTACCTCTGTTCCCAATGCAATATTTACCATGAAGAATATCCCACATAACCCTAGTTACATTAGCTGTCATCCCCGTTTCCCCAATGCCTGGCTGCTTCTGCCTGGAAAGGAGGAGCAGGATGAGTGTGCGTGTTTTGGGGGTGGGAAGGTATCCAAGGGCTGTATAATAAAATCAGCGCCAAACACTGGCCAAAATATACAGGCAATAGGAACCAAAGACTCTGGCATCACGGCAAACCCCATAGATGTCAGGTAGGTTGCCCCACCAACTGTGAGGGATCCCTTCCTAGAACAACCCAAAGTACAAGGGACCAGGCCCCAAACCAGTTCTAAGGGCAGCACTCCAGGGAAACCTTTTGGGGAAGTGACCTACACCAGAACTCTTCTAAGGAAAAAGAGCAGACACCTCAAATGATCATAAATGGCAGGGCGCTCATTACACAAGAGATGGTTGCTCCAGGATTTGAGGTTAGAATAAGCTGAGAATGCATTATTTAATGGCACAAAGCTTGAATCAGAAAAGATTGTATGTAACTGGTGAAGAATGAATACTCAAGAAACAGTATGATTGTGGTCATTATTACTGTTTTTCATTTTTACACTTTTTGGTGTCTCAGCCATCCAGGAAATCTTAAGACACACTACACGACGACTCAGCAGTTGGAAGGGATTTTTTCCAATACAATATGAACTTCACTGCACAGTAAACGGGGATTGAAAATTGGAATGTAAAGGAAGGGTCAATGTCAAATGCAAATAACGGATTAAAAGCAGAGAACTGTGTGCTTTGGTGATGCAGTGAGAAACTGGTAAGATTTTCTAGGCCTCACTAGTTTTAACAAGAGATTTCCTCTCTGTGATAAGAAAAGGGCCTAGGGGTCATTTTACACAAGTCAAGAGGCAATGAAATCGTCACAAACTCTTTCTCAGACACACACACATGCTGCAGTTGCCAAGGTCTGTTCAATAGCAAAGACCCTGAAGAACAGGGAGAGGAGATAAGAAGCACTGACCCCATTGCCCTAATACAAAATGAAATTTCATTTTCTAAAGAAATAGCCATTCATATGCCTCAGCTTCCATATAGCAACATCCTATGCGAGGCTAAAGAACAACTAAATTGCACATGGCACACCCAGAGCTTGTATCAGACATGCAGTGAATAAAAACATTCAACGAGAGTTGTAGCTAAGAGCATATTTTCAAGGATTTCTCAATTTTTGCCAGAATTTAGGAGAAGAAAACGGCAGCAAGCCAGTGAAAGGGAAACTTTGTCTTTCACCTGTTCCTAATTTACAAGGGCTTCCCACAATTCAAGAACACAAAGGAGTCAGTATTGCTTTTAAGCTCCTGTATAAAAGCTGAAGGGCTTTCCTGTTTAAAATGGTGTTCTGAAATGACAAGATTACAAAAGCCTTCAATAAACCAGAGATTCTCACACAGAGAATATGAAATACACAAGAAAACGAGGATGTTGAAGCTAAGAAAACAGAGTAGGTAAAGACAGTAGAAAGGGAACATATTCCTCCTCCAATACAGAATTGAATTAGAGCCCTGCTGTTCAGCAGGGCACCAGAGGAGATGGGGTGAGATTTTGGCACTTGGAGATGAATAGCAGCAGCAGTCCATTATTGAATGCTTTATCCACTAATGCTGTGAACTTGGGATTCAACTGTCAAGACACCATTAGAGAAGTAGTCTTAAAGTACTTCTTCCCAATGACGAGCCGCACCAGAATGCAACTTTTGTGATCTGAGAGTATTTTTTTTCCTCCTGCTGAAGCTTTCAGTATTGATCAGCGGAGTACTGCAGAGAAATGGCTGCAGTGGGGGAAATACACTTTTGGCAAACTGTGTGGCCTGCTTGGGCTGCTTCCCAGCCTCCCAAGCACAAAGTGACTCCCCAGAACCTCCTACCTATCCCCACAGCCTGAGAGAGGGGACAGGACATGGGGAAGGATAGGAGGAGAAGTGAGAAGGAATGATTTTTGAAGTGGCGATCAGGGAGCACAGCTGCAATGCCTAAGCTGTATCAGCCTCATATGAGGAAACAGTATGATACTGATGCTCCTTCATTGTCTTCTTCATTCACGCTTTTCCACCATTCCCTATGCATGGACTACACTGGCTGAGTTGATCTACAAGGCCACCTTCCACTCATCATTCATATTCCCCTTTAAGGCCCATTTCTGCCACAACACCTACAAGAAATTAGCCAGCTAAGATGTCCATTTTGTGTAAATATTAACCCCCCACCACCTTTCTTACTCCATCATGCCACAGGTTAGCCCTCACTGGGAAATCATAAAGTGATCAACCCTCCCTACTGTCTTGTTACTTCACGTCTCAGTGCATAAGCTCCTTGGGGGCAGGGATCACGTCATCTGTTTTGGGGAGACGCAGAGCATCAGCTCTAACATATAATAATCCTGAAGCATAGTCTTATGTCTCACTCTGTCCTCTGTTGTTTCTTTTTTCTTTCCCTTTTGCCACATAATGGCTTTCCCATCATCACTTCACTGTGTTTAAAATTAGTAACAGTTGGGTAATTTCACTTGCATGGCAAGTCGGAGGACAGGATATAGGAGGTGACCTCTGTTAGAGCCCAGTGGGATCAGGATGAAGACACTGGGCTAGTGCTCTCTGTCTAATGGACACTTGAAATAAAAAATGAAGCCTTCAGATTCAGCCATACAGCTTGGAAGAAATTCCAGATGATGACCACAATGTGGCAGGTACCACATGATAATATAAAACTTCTGCAATTTATCTCATGAATCAACGGCACTTTCCATGTGATTGCACTGCCATAGTTTTTAAAGAGGAGATAGAACCAAAACCTCATATCAGACTATGCCTGAAACACGGGAAAGCTTGGATCTGAAATTCACAATAGGTTCCATTTTTGTAATGGGATGAACTAGAAGGTGAATCTGAAAACTGTTTCATTTTAGGAAGAGTGCATATAGGTATTTTGCAGTTTGGGCCCATCTTTAGCATTCAACACAGAATTATGCATTTATCTAATAACAGAGAGACATCTAGAGTTCCAAAACTAAGAATTAACAAATTAACAAAAGCCCCAAAAGTTTTGCAAGGGATATAAACCGTCATGTGTCAGAGCATAAGCCAACCTCTAATTAATGGGTGTTAGTAAGAAACCATTCCTGTAGATAGATGATTCCATAACGGCCTACTCTAGTGGTTCTTGCATCTTCCTCAAAAGCTTCTACTATTGGTTACTGTTGGAAACTGGGCTAGATGGACCACTGATCTCACCCAACATGTAGGTTCTTTTTATGACCACAACGTGGAAAGTACCACAGGACCCATGCAATTTCTTCCATGGCTCATTTCCACATTCCCAGTCATTTAAAAATTCAAGTTGATGAATTTACCATAGACTGGGTTACTAAACTTCTCAAATAACGTGGAGTTTTGCTGGACAACATTATTTTAAACATATTTGCAAAGTGATAAATACCTAAGATCTCTCCTTAACTGACTACTCGGAAGAATGGGACACTGTTTCATAGTCAGGATTGCTATACAATCATGAATCCATTAGCTATACTTCATTTGGAGTACTGTGAGGTAAATTAGGTAAAATCTTTCACAAAGTACTTTAAACCCTTTAAATATTCTTTATAACCAAGCAGCAAGAGCAATTCTGCAAGGTAATTTTCATAAATATCATTGTAAGCCATATGAAAGGCTGTTCTAATTACCTCTTGCTAGCTGGCATGAAAAATGCCTTGCCACTATTATTTATAAGTCCCTAAATGATCTGGCACAAAATTACTTAAAAGAACAAATTAACATTCAGTTCAGATGTCCATTCATAGAACACCAGGTCAAACACTAATAAATGTGTTTGTTCTGAAACTTAAGTAAAGAAGGGCCTGATTCTGGTATGACTTACACTGGGGTAAATCAGGAGTAACCTCACTAAATTTAATGGAGTTAAACCAATGTTAGATGGATCAGAATGAGACCCAGAAAATCTGCTTTTCCTCTTAGGATCCCTAATCTTTTGTATACTGTATAATGACCTCTACTAATTAGTTCAGCTAACTCATTGGTGACATTTAACAAAGAATCTTCATTCTTAGTGCAAGAAATGTGTGGCAAAGCTGCCTCATTATCTGCCTTCGTATCACACCTCAAAACTCTCCCTTGCCATGATACCTATAAAAAACTTCACAATGATTAGGTTGCTGGCATGCACAGACCAGTGCCTACCATGCAGACCAATACTGTTTCCATGGTTTACTTGTACTCCCCCAACTGTCTATATCCATCATCTGGTGTATCTTGTCTTATATTTAGAGCGTAAACCCCTTGAGGCAGGGACTGTCACCCTTTTTTTTCTGATTTTGTACAGCACCTACCACAATGGGGTGCAGATCTATGAGTAGTACCCCTAGGCACTACCGTAATAAAAATGAAGTTATCAACTTCTGAATGATTGAAAGATTAGACCTATTGTAAATGGTTAGCTGCTGAATAGGTGGGCATCATTATTTGTATTATGGTAGCAGACCCCACAGAGATCAAGACCCTATTGTTCTAGCTGCTGTACACTCATGTAGCAGGTCTCTGTACAGAATCTATTAAAATCTGAATAGATAAGGCAGGCAGAGTGGGAGGAAGGGAGTATTATCACCCCCATTTCACATATGGGGAACAGAGGCATCAGAGAAATGAAGTGACCTGCCCAAGTTCACACAGGAAGTCTGTGGCAGAACCAGGAATTAAATCCGATCTCAGTCCAGTGACACCCTCAGGACCATGCTTCCTTTCCATTGTTAATTGACAATAGGCTATTCATGATTCCGGGTACGTGTATGTCCTTGGATAGTGCTGCTGATGTCAACTCGGATATTGAAAAATTGGCCTTAAGTGTTAACTGGGTGATGTCAGCTAAACTGAGATTCCCTGGATAAAGCTTTAAATATATTGTTTAGCAACTCCCTCCCCCACATTATCAAACAGATGAGGCACCTCAAAGCTCCGTTAGGTATTTTCTGACCCCACCCCTGTCCATTCTTCCTCTGCCATCGCCTAACACTCTAAGGATCCCTCTGTTCCTAACTGATTCCTCCTCCTTTTTCCACTACTTCCCTCACTGGAGCTTAGAGAAGTTCCGGGTCTGCTACTAACTGATGACAGGATTTCATTAGTTTGTAACAAAGGTTTTGGGAAAGCTTGTTTAAATACAGATGGCAGCCATGCCAAAACCGGGAAATCAACAATCAAACAACTTGTTTCTAAGCTGAATGCCACACAAAACCCAGCTCTCCATCCCCCCCCGGGCATATTCCTGCACTGTTGCAAATAGAATCATGTCCTGAAAAGAGGAGAAAACTTACAGGAAAATTCTCTAGGACGGGGGATGGTCAACACTGCTCTCTGTCTGTCCACCATGGAGCACTACTTCAGACTCAGATGATCAGTATGTTCTCACCAGCCAGGGGACTTTCCCTAGGGTTCTCTATGCTTTTTGACTGGCTGAGTCACCCTGCTCACTTTAAGCTTTGCCGACAACCCCTATTTCTAACTGAGGTGCACCAGTGGTCGAGGCCCCTGCAGTGGCAGGGAGTTGATTTAGTGAGATATACCCAGATGATCCTGGCAAGTGACCCATGCCCCATGCTGCAGAAGAAGCCAATGCACATCCCCGCAAAGTCACTGCCAATCTGACACGGGGGAAAATTCCTTCCCAACCCCATATATGGCCCTCAGTTTAACATTCAGTGTGCATATTCTTATGTAGTCAGTGCCTATTTTTTAGGCCCTGTTCCTAGGCACTATTCACCCACCCAGCCTCTCTTCCTCCCAACCCATGTTGGTGGGTTGGATGTCCACATGACCAGCTGTTGCATCCCATTGCGGTGGCAAGTTGGAGTCAGCACTCAGTAGTACCATGTGCACGTACTAGCAGTGAGCAAGAAGCAACCATGATAAGAAGGACAGTACCAGGTTTTGTGGACAGTTCTTGTGAGACTCTCCTTTTGGGATGGGTGGGTGTGGCAGGTGTGGTGCAGGGAAAGAGGAAGCAAGAGCTGGGTGAATGAAGTTCCAGAGAGGTGGGGAGGTTCAGAGATTCAGGAAGCAACCCCTGAAAAAACTTATTTATAGAAGAGACAAATGGTCACTACAGTATTCGGGGAGCCTTTTAGCACTTGGTTTGGCTGGTATTTACCTCTTTGGGAACAGGGCAGGAGAAAGGGGGATGGATTTTCCCAATCCTGCTGGCACATCCCTAGACTTTGGTTTTTTGTTTGTTTTTTTTAAATGAAAGCACCATTTTGTGTTGGCTGTACAGCATATGCTGCTGCTTCTCCTCTTGGGCCGGCTGTATGATGCCGTAGCCCTGGCCTTTCCTGCAAAACCTAGTATTTATTTATCTATCTATCTTTGCAGAGGGACTAATAAGCCGTAGGGAAGTCAAGCAGCCCAGGCTCTCTCATTTCTATCACATCTCTCGGAGAGAGGAGATTGTGAAGGTCAGAATGTCACAGCTGCAGCTTCACGCTAATCATCCATTCACCTGACAATCCAGCACTTGCAGTGAAATGCTATTTTACATTCCATGTTTGTAAGTGTCAGTATAAGAAAATACTGTTTGCAATTTTCTCTAGAATGGCTGTCACTTAAAAACCCAAGTGGCTGTCAGAGTGCCTTTGCCCACGGTTATCTTCCCCGTTTTCCCTTTGTGTGGTAGTACAGGGCGAAGCCTGAAAAGATGATGGTTCAGAAACAAACACATGAAGCATTTTCAGACTTGCTTTCCTCTTTCCCACACCAACTGCCATCGATATACTAATGTAACTAGAGCGCTATGGATTTTTCCACACATTTTCATTTGCGTGCCGAAATATCCCAGATTTTGTGTCTGACACTGGGTTGCCCTCCCAGTTGACACAAGGGAAACGGGTGAAAAATGTTTAAAAAACTCCTCTCTCTGCTGTATTCGAGTGGGAGTTTTCATAAAAGGAAAAATGCAACCCAGGAGAGGGGATGGCGCAGGAGAGAAGGGTGGCTGGGCACAGAAATCAAGGGGCCTGAATTTGGGAAGCAACAACGAGGCCCCCTTTCACGCTGATATTCACAATAAAACAGACTGACCCACTCACTCAAGGGAGAACTTGACTTCGGGAACTTAACTCTTCAGGAACGTTTGTATTGCTAGATAATAGGATGCTGGGAAGAGCAATGTTGACCAAGAAGAGGCGATAAAGCCAGGAAAATAGCGAATATAATTGATGAAATGGGTTGCAATCAAACTTTTCATCTCTTGTTCTCACTCAACTTATCCAGCCATTGGCACTCTGGCCACATGACTGGTTTTAAGAACATAACATGACCAGTACAGTGAATGCACAATGAGCAACGTTACGGGAGCCCACACTCAAAACCCATACGTAGCCTCAAGGCTCCTGCACCAGGTGACTGCACTGAGGAAAAGATGCTCGGAACCGGTAGCGGAAGGTGGGCCAACTACCTTTCCTCCCAGCACTCCCTAGCAACAAAGCCTCTTGTCATCTGGGTTGGTGCTGTGGCACTGCAGCTGCTAACTTCCTCAGGGGAAAGAGAAAGTTATTCTTAAGTGGGAAATGGCTTCCCAGAAGGAAACGATCAGCCAGACAAACAAATATGCCATGTCCCTCTCTAGAAGGAGCAGAGGTCTCCACACAGCTTTAGTGGGGTGGGAAAAATAGAACCTACGCCCAGATACTGTAATCCCCTGCCTATCCCCATACAGTCAGCAGGTTTTTAATCCATATTTGATAAGTCCCCCTTTGAGAGTCTCCAAGCTATAAACCTAGCCATAAAGACACAGAAGAACTTAGAAGAGAAGCTCATTCACTTCGGGCTACTCTCTGGAAACAAATGAGTTACAAACCCCACGCTTGCTGTGGCAGAGGAACTCTGAACGGCCAGGTAAGAGCACAAACCTGTGGGGATCATCAGGGTCACAGTTTGGTAGGAAGTTTGTGACAGCTTCTGCCACTTCTTCATTTAATAATACATCCCAGAGTCCATCGGTAGCTAAGATCAGCACATCCTCTGGTCCGTGCTCATACTGCAGAAGATTGTAGACTCTCACCTATAACCACAAAACAAGAGACATTGACTCAGATGAAGGAGGAAATATTCCAATTCTTGTGAAAATCTGCTGATGATGATCTTGAGTTAGCCACTTAGGCAAGGGAGCTCAAATACCCCCACATGTCGCACTTTTGCTCTCCCCAGCACTCAGTAGGGCAACTTCTTCATGGAGCTGGCAATCTCTCTTAGGCCCTAATTCAAAATAGCATACCCTACTGCTGGATGGCACTTAATCAGGTGCTTAAGTGTTGACCTGAATAGGAACAGACTTGACTGTTCTTGAATCAGGGTCCTAATGCAGGTTTCAGAGTAACAGCCGTGTTAGTCTGTATTTGCAAAAAGAAAAGGAGTACTTGTGGCACCTTAGAGACTAACCAATTTATTTGAGCATGAGCTTTCGTGAGCTACAGCTCACTTCATCGGATGCATCCGATGAAGTGAGCTGTAGCTCACGAAAGCTCATGCTCAAATAAATTGCTTGGTCCTAATGCATTTATGTAGTGCTGACAGCGGTGATCAAAGCAATCAAACCTATTCCTCTCCCTTCTCCTCTTGTGGCCATGCTGTGCATTTTGGCTATTCTCCATCATTGGGATAGCTGGTCAAATAAGAATTTAATAATTTACTTGATGAATTTTTAATAACTGTTTTCACTATTTGCCCAGAAACCATTAACTATGCCCAATAAATTGCACATGTTCTGAAGTGCTCAGTGCATTGTATAAGGATTTGCTACCTAAAGTCTTTTCTATAGCCGTGATCCAGCAAAGAACTTAAGAATATGCTTAACTTTAAGCATGTGAGTGGCTCCACTGAAGTGAATGGATCATATTCTTAAGTGATTTGTTGGACTGGGGCCAATTTAAGGAACCACATAAAATATTAATGGAAAAGGTTCTTCCATACTAGGTTAATTCCCTAAAATGCCCATTGGTCTTGTTACTTAAGGCTGAAGTCATATAGCTAAGAACTGAACTGACTTCTCAGACTGGCCCCTGATGCTGAACAATCTGACATCCTATGTTTAAAATGGCCTCCCGTAACCCCCTGCTTGACTGAGCTGTCTAAATAATGAAATCAGGGGGTTAACTGAGTCATTGCAAGTTTTTCAAATGAGTCTTTTGTTGGATGTAAGTCTTCTCCCAGCCTGCCATGCATTCCAACTGTCAAACCGCCAGCTCCTTTAATTCCCCAAACTAAAACTTGGAATCCTTGGGAACCACTCACAGAGCACTTTAATTACCCCACCAGTAATTTGAAAGACGTGTGACAACCTTGGAACGTAAACAAGAAGAAATGATGATCTGTATTAGAATTTGGGAACAGTGCACCTGGTCACACATGCTGTTTTATCCTTGTGCTTCAAGAGCAGCATCAGTGCTCCACAAATTTGTTCGGACATGTACTTGGCACAGCTAGAAGATGGGGAGTGATTTCATTCTCTCTTGGCACATTCTCTCATTAGGAGCCAAGGAGCAGGAAATGCACATAAAATGCTTGGACCTTTCAATGTAATTATGATTTTTATGGGATCGCAACCAGGACAGGAGAAACAATCATGTCCATCTCAGTGCTAATCCTCACAGTTTTTTCCCTTTTGTTCTAAAGAGAGAGAGGGTCATTTGTAAAATGTATCGATTGCTTTATTATTTAAGGTCTATCTGAGTGAGGACTTTTGAGATGAGCCAAAAAAAAAAAAAAGTCAACCTAGAACACTCCCCACTGTCTTTACCTCCTGATTCAAATCTATCAGAAATACAACTCCACAGCAGCAAATATAGTCTATGGAGACTGTGTGTTACAGGTACACCTCTGTGCCAATTCACAGAGGATACGAGTGTTTCATAGAATATTAGGGTTGGAAGAGACCTCAGGAGGTCATCTAGTCCAATCCCCTGCTCAAATCAGGACCAATCCCCAACTAAATCATCCCAGCCCGGGCTTTGTCAACCCGAGCCTTAAAAACCTCTAAGGAAGGAGATTCCACCACCTTCCTAGGTAACCCATTCCAGTGCTTCACCACTCTCCTAGTGTTTGCAGCCCCCAACATTATAGAACCATGGCTCTTTAGTGCAAAGTGTAGCAGCTCATGCCTTTGTTTGTTGAAGTCACCAGCTCAACTGCCAGTGTATTGGCCGAGATGATGGTCATCACAAAAAAAAACGTTTGGAAGTCAGATCTCTTGGATGTCAGCTACTTTTACACAGACAGTAAGATACTTAAATGTTAATTATCCACTTAGCAGTGAATCACTCAGAACAAAACACATGTAAATCAGAAGACTTTTCTAAAATCCATCTCTGCCCCATCTCCCTCACCTAGATAAAGAAAGTTCAAATTAAAGTAACAGATCCTCTCCTGCTACCACTGGGGAAAAATGTTATGGGCCAGACCTTGCTCGTACTGAAGTCCATAGCAGATCTCCCACTGATGTCTATGGAGCAAGATTGGAGCCTATGGCTGCTGCTTCAAGGCAATAGAATCCTGTCAAAACTATAGCTGATGCAGCAGATGAAGGGCCCAAGATATATATTTCCGCAGACTCTAGTGTACATTACTGAGAAGAGAGACTATTTTGATACAAGAACATTCAGGTTTTGGGGAAAACTCAAGCAAAGATAATATAGCTAATTTAGGAACTAGCGGCTATTTTTTATGAGGAAAGACTAAGCTTGACATGTTCAAACCTGAAGAGATGGCAAGGAGATGGATACTGACAGACACCTAATGATGCACAGTAGTTAAGGGGTATGGGCAATGGTGGGCAAAGAACCAGCTATTTGACTGGTATGCAGTTCAATGAAAATAACGTGAAGTTATGGAAGGAGGTTGGGTTAGTTGTCAGATGTGGCTCTCTCCCCCAAAGAATGATTATCATATCTAATTGTCTACTCACTGTCATAAAGTAGCCAGCTTTATAAACTTTCCAAACCTTTGTAGATAGGTAGGATATTACAATATTCATATTATTTCGTATACCAAGCAGAGGCCATGTCCCGGTGTTGTCACCTGGTTGACAAGTAAAGTATTTAAGGGTGGCCACAATATTTATTGTTTTTCCGTCAGTTTTCTAAAATACATCTACAGGTGGCTAGCAAGCACTAATAGACATGAGTTAATTTAGAGCTGTTCAGAGAATCACAGTATTTCAGAGGCAGGCTGTCTTGCCCAGATGCATTCCCACTTAGCGGAGCTGTTCCAGTTCTCATTTTTAATACTATCTTCTTGTATTAGTTATTTGCAATTTTACAGAGGAGTAACATGACACTAGCATTCTCATGTGGCACATGTATGACACTATATACATTTTATGTGGCCGAGAGCTATTTATCAACTCCATCTCACCAGCCATTTTCCCCAAAGCCCTGAGCTACCCCCTGCTTGCTGCCCTTCCTCAATAATAATTCAGGCAATTCAGCAGATATGAGATTTAAATGATGTTATGGCTGTGACACAAATCACTCAAACTTGCGTGCGCTTCAAATGGATACAGAACTCTCCAGCTCACACAGACATGGGTGGCTAGCCAGACCACCAGGCAACCTGGGCAAAAGCCATTTTCCCAATGCAAGCGGACTCTCTGTATGGCTTCCACTCCCTCTCACTTCCTTTACTCTCCCTGCTCCCTCTATGCATTTAGGAAACCCTCCGTCCACCTCCAATGTCATCAGGAAGGATGGACAATTTGGGATCTACCTCATGCTCTGTCTTAATTAGCCCATTCTGCAACTTCATATCCAAAAGTAGGAATGTTTAAAGCCAGCAACAAAGCAGCACTGTCACTTCTGCACAGCCAGCCAGCAAGGAGAGGGCAGGTCTCGATGAATTACACAATGACTGGGGTCTTCAGACCTCTGCTAAGGTTTAGCCGTGGATGCTCTGTGCTACAGCTCAGTTATGCACTCTGTCTGGATATGGATTGTGCATTCTGTTATTCAGCAAAGCTCTTAATGTGTGCTGAGGAAATACTCCAGTGCCAAATCCTGGATCGGTGATACAAAGGATGGGTCGGGTTTGTGGTTACATCTCAACAGGATCTACCATACATACATACATAATCCCAATTATACATATAAAATGATGGGATCTAAATTAGCTGTTACCATTCAAGAAAAAGATCTTGGAGTTATTGTGGATAGTACTCAGAAAACATCCACTCAGCGTGCAGCAGCAGTCAAAAAAGCTAACAAAACATTGGGAATCATTAAGAAAGGGATAGATAATAAGACAGAAAATATCATATTGCCTCTTTATAAATCCATGGTACACCCACATCATGAAGACTGCATGCAGATGTGGTCTCAAAAAAGATATACTGGAATTGGAGAAGGTTCAGAAGAGGGCAACAGAAATTATTAGAGGCATGGAACAGCTTCCATTTGAGGAGAGATTAATAAGACTGGGACTTTTCAGCTTGGAAAAGAGACGACTATGAGAGAAGTCTATAAAATCATGACTGGTGTGGAGAAAGCAAATAAGGAAGTGTTATTTATTTATTCTCATAACACAAGAACTCAGGGTCACCAAATGAAATTAATAGGCAGCAGATTTAAAACAAACAAAAGGAAGCATTTCTTCACACAGCACATCGTCAGCCTGTGGAACTCTTTGCCTGAGGATGTTGTGAAGGCCAAGACTATAACAGGGTTCAAAAATGAACTAGATAAATTCATGGAGAATAGGTCCATCAATGGCTATTAGCCAGGATGGGCAGGGATACTGTCCCTAGCCTCTGTTTGCCAGATGCTGGGAATGGGCGACAGGGGATGGATCACGTGATGATGACCTGTTCTGTTCATTCCCTCTGGGGCACCTGGCATTGGCCACTGTTGGAAGATAGGATACTAGGTTAGATGGACCTTTGGTCTAATCCAGTATGGCCGTTCTTATGCACCACCTTCAAAAGGCCATACTTGGCTTGTGAAAGAGCCACAGCTGATCTGGTATCCCATTTGTGTTCTTAAGCGAGCCAGCCAACTCTTGCTTGAAAACAACTCATAGCAAACTGACATGTAGCCTGCAGCCACCTGAGATGGTCCTGAACCAGCCTGGCCCAATGGAATTCAAGCCAAGACGGGCAACACTCTACATTCAGCTTCAGCTGCATTTACTATCAGCATGGCTACTTCAGTAATTTAAATCTTTTCTTAATTGTATTGTTCCTTATACGTGCACAGTTATCCAAAGCAGTTTCATTGGCACACATGGAAATCTCTTTCTATACTATCTTCCAAGTAATTTATATGTAAATAATGAAAAGCTGGTCCCAACACTGTTCCCTGCAGCACTCACCAATTAACCTCCTTTTAGCTTTTTACTGCTACCTTTCGTTTCCTGCCCTTTAGCCAATTTCCAGTGTACTGTGCCAACTTTCCACTTACTCTACGGCTCTGTCTTTTATATTAACCTACGAGGCAGACCATTTTCTCAAATGCTTTCTGAGAAATCCAAGCACTGTGTAAGACCATCTACTGCATTTTTCATTTCTTCCCTGACAGTATTAGCCTAAAAGAATTCCAAGCCAGTCAGATTTGACCTGCTATTCCTGAAATCACCTTGATTCTCCTGAATCATACAGTCCCTCTCCAAATATTTACCCAATTTGTTCCTTTAAATGGAAGTCCTAAAGCTTTCTACCAAACACTGGTGTCAGTCTAACGTTGTGTGATTTCCTTTTACATACTGTGAAGTGTTCAGCAAGCTCTTTTAGCACAGCCTTTATGGGAAAAGGTTCTTCAGTTCTCCCTCTCCACATCATTCAGTCAGACAAGTGGTCAGGTGAAATAACAAGGGCCAAATGGCGCCATCAGATGCATGCCTTTTCCAACAAATGGGTGAGTAATCATTTGAAGAATCTTAAAACCAAATCTTACCTCCCAGATACAGGGACAAGATTCCTATTGAATTCTACTGCCAGAATTTCATATTAAGATTTGTCAAATGATTATTTCCCTATGAAAAATAGATATGTAATACAATGTGAGATCTCCTCAGCTCTGGTAAGTCTGCTTTGTGCTTCTCCAGTTCATTGTAAGGTTCAGTTTTCTAGAGCTGTGAAAGTCTTTCAAATGTTGTCTCATACCAGCTGAACCACCGAAGGCTGACTGTCAGACTTGGTTACGGGTCTGCTCCTCTCATGGGTTGGTACGTCTATTATAGTAAAATTTGATTCCACCCAAAAGTTACTTAAACCTACACTTCTGGAGTTAGACTCAGTCTGCTTCTTCAGATATTTAGATTCTGATTTCAGATGCATTTCTGTTGCAACCTTATATCATAGCTTTGGTTTTACTATTTGAAACAAATTTGCCATGTTCTCCCCTGGCCTGGGGAAGGGGCCAGTGGCCGTGGCACAGGACCCAAAGTCAGAAGATGTAGTTCTATCCTGTCACTGACTTACTGTGTGACTAACTTCTCTATGCCTCAGACTCTCAGCCTGTAAAATGGAAATTATCTTTCCCCACCTTTATATAATTATTTGAGGTCCACTGATGAGGAAGTGCTATCGAAGTTGCAAGTATTATTACTACTTAATTTACTTCCAAATGCAAGTTCCCCAAATGGCAGCACAGGGCATTGCTTCTTAACATAGCTTTGTCTGCAAGATGTATTGCAGGTTCCTGACAATATAGAGACAATATCTGAGAGAAGAGCAATGTTCGGTGTGATGGTTTTTTTTTTTTTTTTTTGGCACATGTATTTGTTTTCACATAGAATTTGATTTCTGCTGGCTTATCTCAAGATTGCTAGGGCTGATATTCTTCATTTCCTGCTACTGGCCCCTATGACATTTCTGCTAGCCTTAACTGCCAAAGGACTATGGAAACAAGGACATTTTTTGCTGCCATTTGATCAGGCACTTGCAGAGTCTGAGACTCAGCTAGAGTATGCGTTATGCGCATCACGTTTTGGAATTCAAACACAAATTGGAAAAACCTACAAGATGCAAGATACAAATCTCCAAGATCTTTATATTGCATGAATGAATGTTGCTGCAGCGATTGGCAAGGTTGATCCTGCCGAGATACTATAGTAGAGCCGGGTCTTGGAGTGCCAGAAAGAAGAGGTAGAATTGCAGCATTACATTGGCACAAACCAAATCTATTACAATGATGAGGGCAGAAGTGCTGATTCCCTGGCTTGGGACAGCAGAGATGGCATACACTGAAAAAAAACAGGGAAAGGAGCAGAATGAGAGGGGGAAGGATGATGGGTGGCTGTCAATAGACTTCTTTTCTTTAAGTGACCAGAATCTCTCTCTAGCTGTCTTTCAAGCCTCAGTGGAAGCACTTTTTAGTCAGGACTTGTTAGTTTGGCAGCAGCTTTACGTTTCAGGATGTGCACAACTCGCTCACTCCCTCTCCGTAGTCACTGCTAGGGCACTCAGCACCATAGCACGTAAGTCTCAACTGCTGGGTCAAATGTTGGCAACTGTTGAATATTTGCTGAAGCCAGTGGGAAGTGCAGAACTCTCAGGATTTGACCCATGGTAAATAAGACTCCTCATGTGTGTTCACAATGGATTCTACTCTTCAGCTCTGTAGGCTTAATCTGTCTTGCTTACTGTTTTAAATATAATGTTCATTACTAATTCCATATATTTTGTTATTCCAGGGAGGTTTATGCAAAAAGGAGTTTTCAATGAGGCTCTGAGGACAGCCAGGCTCAGTCTCCTTCTAAGAACCTCCAGTAGGCCACTGCAACATCCTGGGCCATCAACCGAAAATGCCCTACCTCCTGCTCTGGAGTGCTTCACTCCAAATACCATCAGCTACCATGTATTGGATAGTGATGAACTGAAAATGTTCTGGAAGTCAGGTCCCAAATGACTGAAGGCCTTAAAGATTAAGTATTGGGTCTGCAAGTGAAGTGGATCAAGGGCAGGTGTGGAGCTTATTTTGATGTGCCCTGGCTATTTTTCCTCCTTAGACACTGGGGTTCTGTACTGTGTACAAGCTGTAGTTTCCATGTTGCCATGCAAGAAATCAGGGACTCCAGTATCTAGTTTCTATTCTCTTATTTCATAAGCTGACATCGGCTTTAAATTCTGTGTCAGTGGTGTGCTCGGTCACTGAAAGGGAAACATAGGGGGAAGAACATCTTGCGCCACTGCAGAGTGAATCCTTGGGCTGATCGTGAAGCAGCTGCAGAGTCACATCCAATGCCCCTCGGGCAGAAGGACATTAACCATGACACTTAGAAGGCGGAAAGGCATCAGGAGCCTGACAGGGATGTGTATATTCCTGGGGCAGCAGGAAGAGGAATGAAAACTACATTACTATGTAGCGAATGGCATCAATCCTGTCATTATTTCCACCCTTGATTTACACATTTATTTAAGTGATCAAATAACATGCTGGACATTGTCCACAGTTGACAGCAATTCAGGATGAACAATGTGCACTTAATTTAATTAATTTTCTTCAACTCCCATGTAATAAAAACATGGATGATGTACCTCGGGAGATGAGGACAGAAAAGGTTTGATGTAGATATTGGAGTCATGCACCTTCAGGTCATGGTCTCCAAGTCCTCTAGTTACTCCAATAGTTGCCATGACACGAGCCTGGAAACAAGAGAAACGCATTAATATCAAAGCCATTTCCAGACACAATGTTAATGTGATAGAGAATTAAAAACTGACCCCACCACGTAACTGCTAGGGCTTTTGGAGGAATCACCTCTCTTTTTCAATGTTTCCTTCCCTATACTGAGGAGTTAACAGACAGTGATCTTTAATCTTTTCACTTTCACAATTTTAGCTGCTTATCCACCAGGGTCACTCTGACTTCAATTTCTCCCTTTCTACAGGGTCAAGAAAAAAACCTGCCTATCGTTCTAGACCATAAATTAAATTCCCCTGGGTAGTTCAGGAGTGGGTTTAGCATCCATTGCATCGTCAGGTGGGTTTGTGCAATTTGGGACTGCTGTAAATATTTGTTGTCTCAAAATTATATATAGCACAGAGAGAAAGAGAATGAATGTGTGTGTGTGTGTGTGTGTGTGTGTGTGTGTATAATCTCAACCAGAATCAAAATTCTCTCTCATTAATCTAAGTCTGCAGGAATTTAAAAATACCTAATGCACCTCTCTCTACCATTTCTTTGTTCTCCCTTCCCCGCCTCTATTTCCCCATTTCCGTTTTTTTGCATTGTCTAGATTGTGAGGTCTCTGGGACACTTGTTTGTGTACCATCTAGGACAATGGAGCCTTAATCTCTCTGTAAGAGTCCTCAAGTACTACTTGCAATAGAAGTACTAAATTATATTAAGCGTATGAAGCACCCTGCATGTTAGTCAATAAGAGCACTCCGTCAGCAGAATATTTTGACAGCTCTTTCTGGAAGTATTGTCATTTCCTATATGCAACATCCCCCTGACCACCTGGGAAGAGGGAAGGTGCTGAGTGGTAGGCAGCTTTTGAAAAAAGGGAGGTAAGGTAAATATTGAGGGTTCCTCCCTCCTTTTATTTTGTTTAGGGGTACAACACAAGGATGGCTGTTATGCTTCCTGTTGTTTGCTTTGGCAATGGAGCCATTTGCTGTGAGTGTGAGAAACAGTCCCATGGTAAAAGGCATCAGCATGCCTTCCTGGATTAAACACATAATAGCTTTTCATGCTGACAACATCTTGTTATATCTGCAGGAGGCAGAAAGCTCGTTACAAATTACAGAACTTTGGAATTTGGGCAATTTGGGATTTTGAATCAGGCTTCAAAATAAACTATGATAAATCTGAAATTTTAGGAATTAATATTCCCAAAAGGGTCAAAACCAACTGTTGTCACATCTACATAAACTGAAATGGGTAAAGGAATCTTTAAAATAGTTGGGAATAAATACTGTGGAGAAACAAAAATAATTTTAAGGCAAGTGATCCTTCAATGTGAAATAAAATGATGAAAGTCTTGGAAGAATGGAACAAATAAAAATAACCTGGCTAGGTAGGGCAGCCTTGGTAAAAACAAATGTCCTCCCAGTAATTTTTTTTTCAGTACATCTCTGATGGTATCCCTGGCATAAGATCAGAAATATGGCAGGGTGCAGTATTAAAATTCATATGGACATGTAAGACCAAGGGTGAGTTCTAAGTTCTGTAAAAGTGGGGTGGACTAGCTTTCCCTAATTTGGTTTATTATTGTTATGCATATTATGCATTAATATCTGGTTAACTAGGCTAACAACAGACCACCCAAACATGGGGTAAAATTCTAAGAAAACTGGAGCCCAAGTATGGCTATTCTTAGTCATTGTTGAGTTAAAAAGAAACCTAAGTCACCAAAAATAAAAGGTGGTCATTTATCCAGACTACCTTAGCAGCTCTGGACAAATTTTCTAAATTCCTGTCACCAGGACCCTCTCCCTCAACTACTTTCTTTAATCATCAGGAATTTATCCCTAGGACATAATCAAAGTGACTGTCCACCGTAGGTAAGAGCTGAGATTATTCAATTCTGACAGCTGTTCCTTGGTACCAATTTGAAATCATACCAAATTATACCATGTAATAATGTAAGTGATGTAAATATTGACAATATGGGATATTTATAAGTCACACATTTTATTGTGAAATCTGGGTATGAGGTGGCTCTAGCTAGACCTTTAAACACATTTCAAAAGTTGAGCCAGGAGCAAGCTGAAACAAAAGGTTTAATTTCTAAAACATATACAATTTGGATTGAAAAAGATGTTGATAAGAAAACAACCCAGATGGAAAGATAGGAGAAGGATTTGGACAAAGAAGTTGACGCGGGTGAGTGGGTCTGTCTATGGGAAAGGGGATATTCATCTTCAATATATGTAGCTCAAAGATAATTGTTATAAACTATTACCGTTTAGATGGGATTTGACTCCAGTTAAGAGCCATAATGTTTTTGCTACTAGAGCCGTGCTCTTTTGGAGGGATTGCAGGTAAAGGGAAACATACTTGCATGTAGGCTGGATGTGTCCAGGATTTAGATGGTTTGGGGAGCAATTATTAAAGAGATTCATTTTATGACAAAATGTAGGCATCCTAGAGATCCCCGATCTGCTTCCTTAAAGCTCAAGTAAAGGTTCGACCTTTTAAGCAGAACTACAAATTAATTACTTTGTTGTTAGCAGCTATACCTTGTGTTGCACATTATTGGAAAAAATGTGACCCCCTCCTCCTACAGAATTGTTGTGTAATAAAATATGGACAGTTCTTGTAATGGAAAAGCTTTCACACCAAGAACGTACACAAGAAAAACGCCAAAAAGAAGACAGCTATTTAGATACTTGGCACTCTTTTTAGCATACTCAGAGGAGGGGGGCTTCTCAACCAGCAAACCAAAATCTTTAGCCAGTTTCTTTGAATATTAATCTGATCCTGAATAAGTAATATATGGTTTAGTATGTTAACATTTTATTTTAATTTTGCCTTAATAAAAAGTTTTTAAAAAAACAACCCAACCCTAGGGGTTTAATAATGAAGGCAGCAGGATGTCTCTTCATAATGGAGCGCTGCCACATATTTCCTTTGGCAAGACAAGAACCATGATGCAAAGTTAAATCGCTGATGTGACAGTAATATGAACACAGTCATTACTGAGAACAGCAATAATTTCAGAGGTGCACCTCACTCCCCAATACCCTCTCTCAAAGTGCTTCTCCTGACTGCAGAACCAGTACAGACAAGATCTTCAATTACCACAACACCTCACCTACTTGCTAGAGGACTTTTCCCCTGAATCAGCAGCCATCCCTCAAGAAACTCCCGAGTCTTCCTTAACTAATACCCTGCCACAGAGCAGCCAGCAAGGCAATGAATCCAACATCTTCTCCCAACTACCTTCCTATCACCCTCCAGTCAGGGGGGTGGGAATCTGGGGCCTCCTCTGAACCAGGAAACTTATGCTGTGGATGCTAGCTAGTGACCGAGATGACTTTAAATAACCTTATACATTAAAACACTACATCCACAAAACAAAGAGAAAATAAATTAAAAAAAATAACAGGTGCACAAACACTTTGCAAACAAAAGAACCAATCCCATCAAACCTACAGATAAGCTACAGCAGGTTTGAATCCTTCATAACTAGATTATATCTGAAGATTGCATATTTCTATATTCAAATAAGAATCCAAACAGTGGGGAAGTGCTGTTTGGAAACACAGTGAGCATACTAATGTCAGCAAACTGGGACCTCGGTGTCCTTATATTCATCCTATTGCTACGTCTAGCTAAGATTATTGGGATCAGAGCTAATAATCTTGCTGTTCATAATCATGCAATTGGTAACATAGTGGCACTTGGATGAAATTATCATTTTTCTTTAAAAAAGGAATGTTAGTTCTCATTGGAAGGATACAAGGGTGGTTCATGTGACAACGGTCTAAGAGGGCATCACTCCGAATGTGTTACCTTTCCCTAAGATCACACCCACCTGTGCCTCCCCTTATGTCAGGATTTCAACAGCTTCCTTTATCTCAATACATTGTAAATCATGGTTAAACACACAACTGCTGTTTTAGTCAGCAAAGTGGATAGATTTTTGTCTTCTTCACCCAACCAATCCACATTTAAAATGCATTTCACAACCAAGCCATGAGAGCTATCTGCACATGAACAGTAATTTAAGATTGTCTCATTTTAGCTTATTTGCAACAATGCAAAATACTCTTATGAGCTGCGTACATGGAAGATACAAAAGGAAATTGAGCAACACATGACTACGTTTGTGATAAAACTACCTTTTTAATACACTGCACTTTTCCCTCCCTGCAGACAGCAGAGACTGATTTATGTCAGACACAATATTCTTTCAAGCTGTCAAAATGATAAAATAAAGAGATACTGAGCGGAAAACATTGGACTGCCACAAGCTACACTGAGTGGTAAACAGCACAGAGTTCTTTATCCCTTTGGTTCAAGGAAAGCTCACACGCCTACCTTCTTGCCTTCTCCATATATAAGGGGAAACTTCAAGTCGTCCTCCTCAATGCTTTTGTAGGCCCTGTGGGGGGGATAAACAACATTTTTTTAAAGCTTGCACTCAATTAGTGACCCTGTACCCTAACACAAGCAGCCGTGTATATTTTTATTATTTTTTCCTAGAGACTTCATCTTTGCAGCAAGCTGCCAGTTAGTTTGCATGCAGAGATTTTCCTTACAGGACTGTGCTATTTGAACAAAAGAAAAGCTAATGTAAAGAACATGCAGTATTTAACACCAAGCTGTCCTTGTTTCTATTAAGCGGGAAAAAAGTACAGGTAAACCGAACATCATCCTAAGTGGTGAAGGGGCTGGGAGGGGAGATACATTGCTGGGCATGGCATTAGCCATACAATTGTACATTGCCATAAAGAGCAGGGATCGGATTCACATTAATAATCTGAAATGGAGAGAACTAGCAGAGGCTGTAGATGGCTGAAGTGTGAAACAGTTCTCAGATCCAGGTCTCACCTTCAGCAGTTCATATCAAAGCAAGTTTCATATTGTGGAGAGCGTGAGAAGATATTTAGAGCCCATTTGACCTTGGCTAGAACATTCACTTTGCCAGAAATTCTGTGTTTCACAACAGCTTTCAAATGGCTGAGAGATGAGAGAAGAATGCATTCATCCTCTAAATGTGTTTACTGCATGTGTGCACACACTACCTTTTACACCTCTGATTTTGAGCCCTGGTGGGGTTAAAAGGTTAGCAATTTTCCTGGTGAGAAATTAAGAAACAGAAACGAAGAAGGTTGTAACTACTATAGCTCTTGAGAATCCTTTTGTATTATCGAACATATTCTAAGATCAATGAAATGGGGCGCTCGCTGGGTTTAGGTATGTAGCCCTAAACATCAGACAACAGGATTCACCTCCATCGCCTTCTCTATATGACAATTTTTTTTTCCCTTTGCACTTTGCTATTTTCTCCCTTTCCCCACCCTTTGAGTTACCTCAGACACGTCACCCGAGAGAACAAATCAGTATTCGGCACTGAACTGGAATGCTCAAGTGTGAAAAAAGAATGCACAGTAGCGCACCCTCTTGTCAGTCTCACCCAGAGCCTCAACAGCTAATGTTCAGCTCTGGAGCAGGACTGGCTGTTTGAATTCATGGGAATCAAACACAATTAGGTTTAAACAACATTAAGGTTGTGATACAAACCAGCAGAAGCCAGGAAATTCAAGTTTAAGGCTGAAATCCTATATTGAACAACCCCGCCTGCTACACCGAAATACTGCATAGAGCTGGGATTAATACAGGGTGTTACATTACATACCTACCTGTGCTGCATTACCTTGGCGCAGCACGGGCAAGTCATGATCACGAGGCAGTGACACAGGCATGATATTTAAGCCTCATCTTTACCTTGCCTTGTGTTGTCAGCTGGTGTCAATTAGCTTTTTCAATTTTTGTTTCCATATAAAAAAAAGTTAGGTAAATGTATTTGAGTGAAAATAATAATAATTGCATATTATTTAACCTTTGCATTGAAATGCAGCTCCTGGAGCAGATAAAGTCGATCATACAATGAAAGTCATTGTTTTTTGTGAAATCTATGTTCTATGTAGCTGCTACTGCCCAGATACTACAGTTAAAGGAGGCATTCATGCGACAGACTGAAAAATACAGCTACAAACTGGGGAAATACTGGCTGTGCTGTAGGAAGCACAATTGAGTCTTTTCTATGCTCTGAGCTATTGAGCTAGGACAGCCAAAGGATGAGTTCTTGGGTTGATGTTCTTCCACTTTCTTGGGGACAAATAATTGTCCACTACAAAAATTGTAAGATACTCACTGTGTCGGTGCCCCCCATAAGGCTTTATGGAAATATACTTATGAATATATATATGACATAACTAGAATGTGTTTTATGCTACATATGCCATGTAACATATCTCTGTAAAGGTTATGATCTACTGAATCTATTAATCCTATTTGTATGCATGTATCATTTTTGTATTCGAAGTTATGAATATTGGCTGCATACTTATTTGATTCTAAGTAGGTTTTAATGAAGAGGTTGGTCAGCTTCCTGAGAAAAGACTGTTCTCAGTAAGTGCCCAGTCAAGAAGCCCTTAAGCCAACAATGAACTTGGAGACGCCAATCCACATCTGGGGTTTCCTAGGAATGTGGCTTGGCTGGTAAGGAACTCAGTCATGCATGGACATGTGACCTGCCCAGGTGACTCCAAAACTCCATTTTGTAGCTGGACTTTGCATAGGAGAGAAGAGGGGGTCTCCACCCACAAGAGAAAGTCTATTTAAACCCCTGGGAGACCCCTCCATTTTGTCTTCAGTTGGCTAAAGAGAGCCTCTCCACCCCCAAGGATACCTGAAAGAAACTGGAACAAAGGACAGTAACTACAGGGGATGTGAGTGATTGCTGGACCCAGACTAGAAGGAGACTAGTCTGTAAAAGGAAGCTTACTGGATTTTATCTGTATTCAGTTTTATTACTGTACTAGACTTAGACTTGTGTGTTTTATTTTATTTTGCTCGGTAATACACTTTGTTCTGTCTGTCACTACTTGGAACCACTTAAATCCTACTTTCTGTATTTAATAAAATCACTTTTTACTTATTAATTAACCTATAAGCTTTATACAGGGTACAACAGATTTATTTGGGGTTTGGACCCCATTGGGAGTTGGGCATCTGAGTGTTAAAGATAGGAACACTTCTGTAAGCTGCTCTCAGTTAAGCTTGCAGTTTGTGGGATGTGGTTCAGACCTGGGTCTGTGTTTGTGACCGGCAAGCATGTCTGGCACAGCCAGGCAGGGTTCTGGAGTCCTAAGCTGGCAAGGAAGGCAGGGGCAGAAGTAGTCTTGGCACATCAGTTGGCAACCCCAAGAGGGTTTCTGTAATCCAACTCATCACACTCATCCTAAATAAACTGAAAGAAAGATTTTTCTATTAGACACACCAAGTAAACAGTGCACTGATTCAATTCAAAAGCAAAGCTAGTTTCTTATGGAAAGAACAAAGTGAGCTGTGCAGCAGAAAAAAACAAGATGAGACACTAGCAGAATCTGTTGAAGAACAGGAGTCATGAGTCTACATGATGGGACAGCCCAGGGGGGAGGGTGTCTTTCTACAGGAGTGAATGAAGGGGGATGCTGTAGAGCGGGAGGAACAGTGTTAATACATGGGGAACATCTCAATGAGGAGAGCACATCGGGCTACTGAGCTGAAGCGCACAGCAGCAGTGTACTGTTGAGAAAGCATCTGAGAGATGTCTTCCTGGGGTTTTCTATGGAGGATGCAAGCAGATCAGATCCAGAGTTTGAAAGGAAAAGAGGCATAGATCACCTCATGTGCAAACTTAGGGCTAGCATGAGACCCGCCTCTAAACCCTGCATATGGAGCTGTATGTAGGTGGGCTGCCCAGGAGCAGCCCAGGGAAGGACTTATAACACCTATCACTACTGTACAAGGTGGGCTCAGTTCTCCTACTGTGTCTGAGCAGAGCTGACAGGGAAACAGTGGTAGCTTCCTGATTCCCAGTTAAAAAGCTGCAGGGTGAGAACCTTTAACTTAGATAACTGGTGCAAGGCTTTAAGAGTCACAAATTCCTCGTTTGCTCTCTATTTTGTTTCCAGTAGAAAGTAACTAACTGTAGCCCTGAAAAGGCTCCCCTTCTCCCAACTTGGCTGATATATTGAAGGGAATGGTTGCGACAGCTCCACTCACTCCCCATCTGCTCTGGAGCACATTTCCCCCCGCCAATTAAACCCAAAATGCAGGGAGGAGCCCAAAGCAAGCCCCATAGAGGACTGGGGAGGTTTCATTTCCCAGCATGGCTGCATAATGGCCAGGAACAATCTGACCCTAAGTAACCAGGATGTTATGTGATTCCATATTACATTCTGGTAATACCAGTCAGCTCTGTGTTCTTGGGGAACCAGGGTGCAGTATCTAGCCTGTCTGACTCATGAAAGACACTCCCACCACCAGTCTCTGCTTGAACCAAAACCGATAAGAGAAAAGGCTTGCAGAGAGCAGTGAAGGGCATTGGGAGACACACCTAGACCCCTCCTGACAAGGGTGACAAGATTAAGACATCTCCATTAGCATACAGAATGAAGAACAGAGACAACTCCCCTAGCCTCATCTGCATGAAAGATGGGACAGAGAGACATATCTATTTGCATACAGAATGGAGAACAGAGAACCACACTGACCTCTGGGACCAGAAAAGCAGGGAAGCACTGCATCATGGATCTCTTCTCCAGATGTTAATGAACCTACGCCTGCACACACCCAGCTCAGCAGTTATCAGACCAATTCTAGTAATCAACCCTTGATTGATATCCAAAATACTGAAGCAACCTAGTTGCATTGTGAGCTGCCTGGAAAAAAACACACTCATAGCCAAGAGTGATCAGCTCCTATTGTCTAGCCTAAAGGAAAACTCTTGAGTCATCAGTTTACCCATAAACAAATCTAGTATTCTCCCTTGAACCATTGTATTTTCTCTACAAAAACCCCAACCTATGCCAAGTAAGTGTTCTGATGCATGGATCCAAACTCTGCATCAATTCCACTGGGACTCAATCTCCTGACTGATTGTGTTGGGGGCTCTGCCTGTCTCCAGCACTCAGGACCCTGAGCTACCATCATCACCTGGGAACCCCGAACAGTTCAAGCCTCATGGAGTGGGTGAGATTCCGCCCCCGGCTGTTTTCTTTTCTACCTCAGGTATTAACCTTTAATCCTGTAGCTATTATGTTTGTTTAGCCCTCCTTGTGTAGTTATCACTATTATTCAATAAATAAATTTATGGCTAAGCTGGTTGCTTCTCTCTCCCTGTGAACTTTACTCTTTTGTGTTTTACTTTTACATTCACTCTGCAGCAACGTTTCTTTTACCTAAGCTAAAGACCCCTGCAGTGCCCATAATCATGTGGGGTTTGCTCATCAAGTGGGTTACTACCAGTACAATTGTGATGGGAAAGTGGGGATAGGGACGTGTTAAACCTGTGGCACATAAGGGGACAGCTGAAAGTGCTGCTTGGCCCAG